AAAAATCAAAAATGCACAAAAAAATAGGCACTAGCTTAACCCATTTGTTAGAGAGAGCCAAGGACGTTAGACCTCCAGTCTGCCTTCTCATATTCACCCACAGTAGTGATGATCAAAGCCAAACACTCCCCACTCTGAGTACCCTGTGCTGTCAAACACATTATAATCTAATGAAAGTATTTCTATTACTAGCATAAAGTTAAACCATTTCATAACTGGAGGAGAAAGAGAAGCTACAGTCTGAATATAAGCATTTCTTTGAGAAGTAAAAAAAATCCCAACAGATAAGAGACAAAAAAACCTGTTTGAGTCATCCACCAGATGATCGTTAGAATTACAGCCAATGCTTAAGCAATACAACACTGAGCTAGGAAAAGTCATCGTATGGTTGTTCTGCTTTTGGAGTAGCCTTACTAGTTCACTAAGCACTGGGCAATCTATTTCTCTGTTACTCTAACTAATTTTCAGAAGCTGCAATGTAGAACTGCAGTGTTAGTGAAAGAATATGCTCATCTTCACCAAGGCCTGGGATTTGTATCGCAGAAACTCATCAAACTTACATTACTCCAAGTGTACCATGTCCAAATCACCTAGTTGCTACTATGGACTTTTACATTTCTACCCAAGGAATGGCTGGGTTTTGAAGCTTGATCAACCAGAATCTTTTACATTGAACTGCAACTAAACAAAGCAGAGTACCAGTTAAAGCCAAAGAACACATGTACTCAGCACAAATATGTGTTGATACAGTACAGTATGTATGTGGATATATATGTATATATATATGCATATATATGTATATGTTACATTATAAGGAGAGTGCCATTCAGGGCTTCTCAAATGCAAGAATCCTCTTACCACCTCTGAGTCTTGAAACTTCAGCCCATTAAATTTCACACTAAGACAATGAGAACTCCAGTATTTTCCATATTGAACGATTATTTCTATTTTAGCCAATTAACCATGCAGGGCCAGCAGACAAAACAGGAGCTTTAATTTTAATAGCACTAGTCCTGCCACCTCAATCAGATGGCCAAGATTTTATCACAAGATCATTTGCCCTCTCCCTGCCCTGCAGTTGCGTATCATGGGCACTACTGTGAGTTTTCCAGACATCACCAGAGTCATACTAACTGATCGCTATCATTTTACTCAGTTGATAGAGAAAATGCCACAATTTATGAAATTTCAAACAGACAGTACAGGTCCGACAAGAATGCAAGTTTATACTTTGCAGTACTGGCTAGAGTCACACTGGTATTAATCACATAATGATTCTGCCTTTTCATCCCCAGCAAGCCCACTTTTACTCCTAGTGGCTGTCATCATACATACAACTGAAGAGCTGGACAGCTTGGGAAACTGTGTTACTCACTGTTATACTAAGACCCAGTCCTTATAAAGTTCTGCTGCACAAATTTCACACATAGCTGTAAAAAGTTCCAGTTAAATCATTTTGAGTAGGTTTTCTTACTTTTTAAGAAATAGAAGCAAAAAAAAAAAAAAAAAGTAAAAATAAGTGTAACAGGCACTTAATAAAAAACTAAATGCTATTTAGATGAGTGGGAGCTGCTCACCTCCCTTGCCTTTAGTCTATCTAGAATTTAGATATCTGTTATGTCACCCTGATTTTTTAAGATTTTCTAAACCTTCTGATGTTTGCATTCTTGTAGCAAACTTTCTCACACACTTTCTGTAAACAACTTATTGTTTTGCATTCTTTTATAGAGGAGGATAAATTTGATAAACTGTTAGTTTGCCCAGTGTCATTGGAGAGGTGGCACTTTCATCCTCCAATCCACTGACACATTTAGAAATCTATAGACATTAGAGTCAGAAAATAAACTTCCCTTTTCTACCTCGAGAACGGCAGCGTGTTCGCATTGTATTGTTTCGTGTCCTATAGCAACACTATCCCAGACTAAACATTTGTGCTTCCTCCACTCTTGAGGAAACAAAAGTTTCCTTCTGGAGGCTGTCACTTCCACAAACGGGTCAAACAAGTCCTCCAGGGATGGCAGATCCAAGGACAGTCAGGGATTACCTGACACACAGGTGAGACAAGTCTTTCTTTCTCTCTTTATCTCTCTGCACCTTCCTCAAGGGCAGCAGTGGAGGGGAGGTGCTGATCTCCCCTCTCTGGTGACCAGCAGCAGAAGTGAGGGAATGGAGTGAAGCTGAATTAGGGCAATTCAGACTGGACATTGGAGAAAGGTTCTTCACTGGAAGGGTGGTTGGTCACTGGGACACGCTGCCCAGGGACTTCCCTTGCCCCTGGTCATGGCACCAAGCCTGCCAGAGCTCAAGGAGCACCCAGGCTGCTCTGGATGACAGCTGCTCTGGATGACACTCATAGTCACACGGATCAGTTTTAGGTACTCTAGGGCATTGGACTCTGTGACCCTTCAGGATCCCTTTCAACTCAAGACAATCTTTGACTCTATGCTGAAGTAACTCAAAATTCATCAAGCAAATGCTACTGAAACACTATGAGGACTTTGGTACATAATTCCTTATGGGCAAGAGCTGGTTTTTAGAAGAATCAAGGAGTTAGACATTTTATAACAAGCAAACAGTTCTCAGTCCCTAACTCTGGCAGCAAAGCCACCTCTATCCTTTCTTCACTCTACTGTGTACCAGTATTGCTGTGTCCCCTCAGTTACAGGGCTATCACATCCAAGTGGATATGATGTGATACAGGCTACACTCCTGGAAACTTCAAGGTCTATTTAGAACCTTCCCATGAGGTCAGAATCACCTGAGCTGTGTGCCAATGACAGCCATACCACGCACTGGGCCAGTATTACAGAGCAGAATGAAAAAACACAGCCAACATCCATCTTCCAAAGCACCTTCTAGAAAATAAATCAAGCAGCTCCTGGTACACAGGGGCACACTGGTCCCACCTGCTCACAAAGATATCTGGAATTCATTCACTGTTTTGGAAGGCAGCTGTGTGTGGCCACAACCTGGATTCCATGGCCAGGAGCTTCTCCTCACCTTCACAGCTTGGTTCTCAACCAAGAAGCCTCAATTCCTTCATTTCAGAAGGGGGAACCACCACATCCCAAAGCCTAGACATCCTTTTTGCATGCCTACAATTCACAGAGCATCCAGGACAGTCAGTTGAGCAAGATCGTGCCTAAGGAGGCATTGCTGCTCAATTAGCTGAGTTGGCTGAAGGTTTTCCCATTGTAACACAAGTTTTCTATTCTAGTATTATTTTCGGTGTGAAAAAAAAAAAAAAAAATCAGTGGAGATGGGTGGGGTTTTTTTGCACAAAACTTGATGCTTTAATGAAAAAAGGTTGCTTTTCTCAATATTTTGCTGTTTATTTCTGTTGGGAAAACTTGAAACACGTAACTTTTGTCAGAGAAATATCAGTCCATGTCTGTCCGAATTCCTCCGGTGTCAGCTGGGAGCTGTAACTCAAGGGCTCCATGGCCCCCTCTTTCCCTGGGCACCTCTCCAGCCCTCATGACGCATTCCCTGTTTGACTAACCCAGGGCAGGAGCATCATGGGATCTGTAATTCAGCCAAAGAGCTGAGCCCCAAGGGAGACATGGCGCGCAAGGCACTCGAATGAAAATTTCTGAGGGCTGCAACAGTAGCTCAAACTGATGCTGCTTTAAGGGCCAAATGGATTTAATTAAATGTTTCCATTTCAAAAGGCTGGAACATTTTATTCAGTGTTTTCCAGCTGACAATTTCTCATTTTTTGAAAAATTTCCTTTCCAGGAAAATGTTCGGTATTTCAGCTTTCCATGTCAGTTCAGGATGAAATCAAACGTTCAAGAATCAGATTTCAATGGTGCATGGACACTCAGTTTGGGGAAACAGCCATATTAGTTAGCTGTCAAAAGTGAAATGGTTTCATCCATGCAAGAAAGGTGTGATCCAGTTTGCCTTTGACTTCAGTGGAAGGCACCTTTTTAGCTTAATGGAGCCTGGACAGAGTCCCAAAAGACCAAGGGAGGGTGGAGCTGATCATAGTTACAGATACGGGAAAAAGGAGTCAAAAGTGAAAGAGTGAGAATGTAAGAAGCAGCAACTAAGATGATCTGTTACCTGGTCTTGATCAAAACAGTTTTACTCCAGTAACAGGATGAAAATCCATTAAGATTGTAACTTCTAATTCCCAGTTACAGTAAAGATAGCAGTTAATCACTAATTTGTAGAGCAGAATAAATCCATAGTATGAATTTGTCATGAGCACTATAGCTTCCAATGCTCAAAACAGTTCTAGAAAACCTTCATATGCTCCATTCAAGGAGACTACTCTTAAGCTACACATAATAATATGGTACTGAACTGCTCACCACAAGTTGTCTGTCCTCCCTTGAACCCCCTCAGAACTGCTCTGCTGGATTGGTACTACAGAAGGTCCGTCAGGAGGGACCAGGGTCTCTGGACTTTGAGCACATCTGCAGGTGGAGAACAGCTAAGTGTGGGCTTTCAGAGCTGATACTTTGGGAGAAGGCTGGGCACCAAACCCATCCTCTGCTTCGCCCAATCTGTTTTGGGAGGTAGCCCCAAGCCTTCCACCTCAAAGAGTACAAGACAAGCCCTGGGGAGTCCACATCCATCAGCATCAGGGTGTGTGTTGAAAGCAAGAGAGCACTCAGAACTGTAAGTAAATCAATTCGTCTGAACATGACGGGTGAAGAGAATTGGGATTTGTTTATCTTTCATTTCCCTTTCATACAAGGCAGATGTTTCTAAGTAATAAGCAGAAACCTCTACAATTTTCAAGACTGAAGAGGAAGAGAGGGAGGAGAAAACATGTACAAGCTTTGAGGATGTTCTCAGCTCCAGCTATAAAAAAACAAAAGAACCAAAACAAAAATCAAACCAACCAAACAAAAAAACCAAACCCACCAAAATCACACACCACCAAAAATTTCTATCTGTAAAAGCAATTTTTTTTCTTAAGCTGTTTGGTAATTCTTCGCTCACAGGAGCATTTATCCAGAAGGTTCTTTGTGTTTCCAGTCTAGGTTGTAGCAATCTCAATGAGGCACTAAGTTTTAGGCCATTAAAGTCTCTCTGAGCAGCACGGTCATTTTAAAATGATGTGGTAGCCATCATTGCTTTCAGCTGTAAAAAAGAAATGCAAAGCATATTTTCATTGTTTTTAAGAAACACCAGAGATATAGAACTTCAAATTTTCTTTCTACGTAGTTTGTAATAGTTCATACACTTGTTTCACAACCCACTCATGAAAACCAATGTTGAACATCTAAGTGAAATAATTTACATTAAAAAACCCCTACATACTATCATATTTTATCATTTTATCCTAAGGCATTTATGTCAGTGGTGTCAATGGATTTATGGAATTTTTGTAACAGTGTAACTGTTGATCAGTCTATCATAGTGTAGGTCAACAGCTTGACTTACACTAGATTAGATTACTTATCTTTTCAGTATAACAGCATTGAGTTTGTGATAACCTTTAGTGCAATGGAAAGGAGGAATTATCTTTAGTGTAACAGGTATCAGCAGCAGCAATACACACCTTTCAATGTACTGATAACAAAACAGGATTCGTCTTGGAAGTTTTGCACCATCTGAAGGGCAGAAGGAAAAAAGCCAACACAATACATTTTTAGCAATTAAATTCACAATTCTTTCAGAACCAGTATAGACTTAGAGGAGAGGTATTAAACAGCATTTGGTGTCTAGTCCTGCACAGTCCTGAGTAACCTTGCCCATGAGATTATTAAGGTACATGACTGATCAATTAAGATCCTTGCAGTTGAAGGGAAAAGCTCACACTAAATGTGCTTGCCTGAAACTCATCTAGCTTATTCAGCATTTTACCATCCTCTTGATCCTGAAGGTTCTTGTACCACTCCAATTATCCTATTAAAGATCATACTCTTTGTTGCTTTCAGTGAAGCTGTACTAGTTTAGACAGGATTCAGGTAATCCCTTTCCTAAAAATCCAACGGTGGCAATTACATATTCAGTTAAATGATGGAGCTCAGCTGAACTTACATCAGCATTTATAGAATACTAGAAATGGTAAACCCCAAGAAATGGACTTCCTGCTGAGTACAGGATTGCTACTGAAAAGCCACCTCAGCAGCATCCATCTGGCTATTTTGATCAGACATTAGTACAGATGCTGTCCTTGCAGGATTAATTTACCTGTTTGTATCTTGTCAAGGAACAAGAATTGTAGTGAAACTGTAATAAGAGGCAAGGAAAATCATGCCTTGAAAGGAAGAAAGACTAGAATCTAAAGCTATTTGAGCTATTCATGAGAGGCAACTAGATTTTCAGAAGAGGTGCAGATTCTAGTGGCACCTTTAAATAAGGAGATAAAGATTATTTCAGTTGCAATATGAAAGCCCATTTAAGATTCATCCTTAGTCAATGCTTCCTCCCATCTTAGAGTAGCTATGTGGGCCAGAGGAGGTGAATTACCTTCAGGAGGTGTCTCATACAGTTGAAGCAAATGCTGGACACAATTCCAGAGAAGGGAGGTGTGACCAGAACCTCGCTGATCCCTTCATGAAACCCAGCTTTGTGAAAAAGCCTTCTCCTAGCTACTGAGTATCATTCAAGAAGTGCATTTTTCAGCTGTAAGTTCTCACATCAAAATACCCTTCTCAGCTTAGACTGATGTCCCTATACCCTTTTGGATTTAAACCCAGCCTCTGCTCCTTCAAATCAAACTTCTCTGGCCAGTTTGTGTGTCTTTGCCTAATGATGCATGAAGTACATTCACAGAGTGCCACACTCTTGCCACTATAGTACTAGAACAAGAAAAAAAAAATTAGAAAAGCAATAGAACTTGTTAATAATTGACTTCAGCAAATACTTAAAGCCTTATACCCAGGCTGGCTCATGCAATTCCCCTACCAAGAGCTGCCTCCAAGCACTTTGCATCCATAAAGCATCAAAGTTTCAGATTTAATCAGGCTGGAATAGCAAGGAGACTTCAGGAATAAGCATTACAGCCTTCAATTTAGGCTCCAGTTGAGTCCTATGCTCTGCTTCATTTGTTTTAACAATGCTTCTTATAAATGAAGCTCCTTAAGTGATTCTGGTGCATGAATGAGTAAGTAATTTAGTAGAGGAAAAAGAGGAAGAAGGGCAACTCACTATTAACCTGTAAGTTAATGGAATGGACTAAATTAAGGCATCATATAATGGGATACAAACAGTAGCAGAGGTCCATAAATTAAAGTATGCATATAGTGACAGACCCAGTGCCTGGAAACATGGGCCAAGATGTAAAACTAATTGCCCTACAGATTTTAAAACTTACCTTCTTTGGGCAACTTACCTATTTAATTTTAAAAGTTCTTAATTTAGATCCTCACTTCAAAATGTGTGTAAGTAGCCAAAATGAAAATAATTCATAGAATCATTTAGGTTGGAAAAAACCTCTAAGATCACCATGCACAAACATTGACCTGGCACCAGCAAGCCCAACTCTAAACCATGTCCCCAAGTGCCACAGTTACATGACTTTTAAACACCTCCAGGGATGGTAACTCAACCACTTCCCTGAGCAGCCTGTTCCAATGCTTGGTAACCCTTTCAAGAAACAATTTTTTTCCTAATACCCAATCTAAACTTTCCCTAGTACAACTTGAGGCTATTTCCTCTCATCCTGACACTTGTTACTTGGGAGAAGAGACAGAGCCCCACATTGCCACAACCTCTTTTCAGCAAAAGTCTTGAAACCACACCAAAATCGGTGCTGTGCATGGTGATTCACTACTTTAACTTGTTGGGATTAACGGCTTCACAATTCTCCCTTGAAAATGCATTCCATAATTTGAAAGTTCATTCTAACTTCAAGAAGTCAGACAACTGTTCCATCTCTGACAAAGATGCAGCCCCCTTTAGGCCCCTTACCTCATTGCTGACTAACACGTGGATCCCCGTGGGTCCCTGCCGGTAGATCCGATTGATCTGCTGTGGAGAAATGCTGTACAGGTTTGCAATCTTCTCCAGCAGCTCCAGCGTGGTCAGCTCTTCTAAGAAGATTGCATGATACACTGCAACAAGTGGAAAGCAGCTACAGAACAGCAAATACAGGTGGCACCAAGACACTCAGCATCAACAATCAAATGGGTTTAAGATGAAGGTTCAAATGGAATAAACAAGCTTAGTATTTTAAAGCATCCCCCAAATATCTGGCTTGATGATTAGCAGAAAAATACCCACTATTCCTATGTAGCAGGCAATTAAAACACACACACACACCTTGAACCCAGAGGAAAACTTGGGGACTAATGCACTTGCACTTGGGGACTAATTACAACTTGCACTCTGAGGCACTAAAACAGCCTTCTCATAAAGCTGCTTATATTTTTGGATAATCATCTTTTACTGATTTTTTGAAGTTTAAAAAAATAATTCAATTAAAGAGTAAAACACATGCTATGTCACACAAAAGCAGTATTTTATTAGATACCATAGGCACAAACTAAAACATACAATGTATAAGGTAACAACATGGATGACAGTATTGTTTTGGAAATCTAATCCAAATTATAGCTACCAGGTAGGAAAGCTGTACCTGTTTATTACTAAATGCAAGATTTAAGGATAATCTTTGCTCTCATTTGATTGTACATTGTGTCATGAGGGATGACAAATTCCCAAAAGCTTCAAACTTTTAAGAATTATAACCCAAATTTATACTGACCTTCCATTTCCCTGAATTTTTTCAAACAATACATAATCTAAAGAAAATTGTGGATGGAAGGGTGGTTTTTAATGCTGTTGTCCCTGCTAAGAACTGAACAGAGATTTGGCATTCTACAGATAATTTGTAAGCTGGGTCTGTCCCCCAGGCAGACAGTGCCATTTGGAATCTGTAGCCGTGAAACCATAACCAAAGTGGCAAAACTGGAATAAGCAGAAACCCTTCAAACACTAAGGACACCAAGCTGTCCTGCACAGGAGCTCAGGCAGAAAGCAGCATTCTCACCAGGTAAGTGTTTAACAAAATCCATACCTAAGAACTTACCACAAAGACTGCCATCTCCATTTTCTCGTTTTTGGTGGAGATGGGACCTGTTTTGCTCAGGTTCTTGACAGACATAAATTGTCATCTTGGGCCTCACATTTCTATGGATTAATCAAAAATGTAGTAAGTTATTTAGTAGATCTGAAATAGTTCCAAGTCAGCCATCAAACAGTAAGAGATGGAATCATTCAGGCCATGCACAAGTAACAAACTAAGGGACAGCCTTGATGCTGGTGACAGCTTAGGACGTCTAGCAAGAGATCCCTGGGAGGTGATGCAGAGCACCTTAATCTTTTCAAGATCAGGTAAGAATAAACAGTTTACAGCACTTGCTAAGCAGCTCATCATACTTGCCTCTACAGATTGAAATCCTCCTCAGCTGTAGAATTTATGAGCAGCATAGGGCAGTGTAGGCTGTGTACCTCATGAAATGGATGCAATCTATCAGCTGGTAGCAAATAAACCACTAGATATCCACATTATGCTGCTTTGTTTTGGTAACATTTCTGAGCTGTGCTTGGATTTTAATATCATTGTGATCTCCAGCCCATGAGAAAACCTCTCTGAAGTCTTAAAAGGGAGTCTAAATGCTACAGCTCCAGGATTAACTTCTAGTTAACACTGAAATTATCAAGGGATCATAAAAAAATAGGAAGGAAACAGTACAAACCTTCCTTTGATTGCATTAAAGAGCCGAATTCCATCAGCAGGCCCACAGATTTGAACAAAATCTTCTTTGGACATCTTCAGTAAGTCAGCACCTACATATTTCAAATTGATTTTTCTTCAGAAGTTAAACAAATCTCAGCTTCCAAATAGTACGTATGGGCAGCAGAAAAGGGCAGGGGTAGAGGGCAAACAGAATCCACGAAGCTACACCAGATCAATTTACACAGAGAAGTTGCAAATTCAGAGGTGTGCACTTTAAATCAATCACTGTGAAACAAAGCTGAAAGCTGCCAGAAGAACAGTGCTGCATTGGAAAATACTCCAGCCAACTCATAAACAAGGTAGATATTTTACACTGGCCATTAAATTACCTTCTGTAACTGTAAGCTGCCAGAAGAACAGTGCTGCATTGGAAAATACTCCAGCCATTTGGAGTATTGGCCAGTGTAAAATATCTACCTTGTTATGAAATCATAAACAATGTAGATATTTTACACTGGCCATTAAATGACCTGGTCTTCTGTAACTGTCACATTCACTGAGTTATTTCATCATGTTGCAAGTCAGAGAGTCTCCTCATGCTTTCAACACCTCTAACAACTGGCCCTTCCACCATCTTACTGGTGTGCACAACTACTGAATGGGAGGGCACAGTGAAGGTGCCAGATGCTTCTTAAATGTGCACGTGTACAGGATGAGAGGCAGCAGACAGAAGATTAAATGCTGATTAGATATCAGAAAAAACATTTTCACTGTCAGAATAGTTAAGTATTTGAAGAGGCTGTTTAGAGAGACTGTGGAACTTCCAGCCTTGGAGATATTCAACGGCAACTGCACAAGGCCCTGGACTTGCTTTGAAGTTGCACTTCATGAACTTAGGAAGTCCCTTCCATTGTAACTTAGTTCCTTCCATTTTTACTTACTCTGTAGGTCTACAAACTGTTTTGACAAATGGTAACTATCTAAGAACCAAAGAACACACACTGGATCAGACCAAGGATCCCATCAAAAGTGGCCAGCAGCAGATGCTACATGAGCTGCACTTACAGAAGTGAAAAAAACCAGAACATTTGGACTGTTTAAACTCACCCGAAAAACTTGAGAAGAGTCTACAGAATGGAGAGAACCTATTACGATGAAGCCACTGCTGGGCATCTTGAATAGAAGCAGAAGGAAGGAGATGCTACATTGCAAAAAGAATAAGAAGGTCTTGAAATGAACTGTTCACCAGTGTCCTAAAAGAGAAAAGCACCACATTAACATGATCTCAAGTACTTACATCATTGCTGGGAGGCAGGAGCTCCATTTGGTGGGTTGGAGAACTGTTGCTAAAAGAAATTATATAAAGTTGGAAGAGAAAAAAAACACATTATTTTAAATTTTACATTGCAGTGTCCATCCTCTTCCCCCTCCTCTATTTGACTCAACATTCACAAGTTACATCCAACTTGGCTTTTTTTGTCTATTGGATCTTAAAAAAGGTGTTCAAAATTTGGAACAAGAATAAAAAAAACCAAAACACTCTCTACCTTAGTCTTTTGTTGGTCAGTTGAGGTCCTCAAAACTGAGAGAAAAACCTCAGGTTTACTGACCTTAACCAAATTTTTCCATATGGTTGGCTCACTAATGTGACATCATCTAAGTAAAAGAAAATTGTAACCTACAGGGTGGCTGAACTTGAAATTTCTATGAGCCAGAAATATCCTAACTAAATCCACTGTCTAACAATAATTCTTTACAAAGACTGAATAAAGGTCTTTATAATTCAACACTGGTGTTATCTTAAACATAGTTAAATGCCATAAATCATGCAAAACCACATTTCTACTAAATTCTCCTAAACACAGACAGGACTCCTAAACACATCAGGGATTTTACAAAAGGAAAAAAATACTCAGCAGATACCTCTGCTAACACAAAATTTTGTACTTTCAGTGTTTGTTCTTTTTCATAGTTTGAGGGGATACATTGAAAATTAGTGATACAACATGGACTAATACAACATGGTAATTAAGTTGTGTGGGAAGGCAGTAAGATAGCAGAGTCCTACCAAAAGAAAAAGGCCTATACCAAATTCCTAAGGGGAAGTATGTAGCAGGGAGGACTGATAAGTACTGAGGGATACTGCTGTACCTTTCTGACAGCAGTTATCTTCAGCATTTCAGAATCACTAGAGCTGTTTCATTATGATGGCTATTTAATGACTTCAACATGTCTTCATTAATCCTTTGATCTAAAATGGCATCTCAAAACCCAGGCTGTTTTGACCCAAACAGGATTTCTTTACATGTCATTCATCTAGGAATTCAGCACCCCAAAATACCTTTAGACAGAAAGTAAGGAAGAAACACCAACTCTGAAGAGGTGCTGAAAGCCTCTAACACACTTGTGAGAAGATGCTGGGGTTGGTGGTACAGGGCATGGTCTGTTCTCACCAGGAGTTGCCCTGGAGGCCCTGTGATGTTCACCTTATAGTCACCACATAAACAGTGCATGTACAAACAGTACTCTGCATTATAGGGGATTCCTGGATGGAAGGTCTTAAAGGCTTTTGGAAAATAAAAAAAAGGGGGCAGGTCCTTAACATCATCTTGCAGGGTATAAAATGCGTGGACACACAAAGGCTACCATATCAACAGGAAAGATAAAGCATGTATTTGTTACATACCCATCTCCGAGGTTGAAGCTGTTGGGAGAACTGTTGTAGCTTGGAGATGGAGCATTGTTCATTTGATAAGGCACATCTGGCCAGGGAGAGCACTGTTGGAAGAAAGGCAGCGGGGAAACTTTCATAAGGATGGAAATAAAGGATGTGATTCTCCTCTAATACCACATTCATGCTGTTGCCACACCACTAACTTCAGCTCATCACTCCTGCTGGGAGGAGGAGACGGGCCATGGATTTTCTACACTGCTCTCCAAGTGGGCTGTCAGGGGGCCAAGATTGATTCCAGTTGTGCATTCCACATTTCTTTCTCCCATTTCACAAAGCCTGTCCCCAAATAACACTGGGCCAAAGTGTGCACAGCTGTAAGTCAGAGCAACTCCAGTAAGTCAACTCAGACTGAAGGCAGCAATGATACAGAAATATCCCTGGTCTCAATTATAAATCTCTAATTAAATCCAGGCAAGAGTGACAAAATGCTCCTGTGGCATTGCTTCAGGTTTATACCAGCAAAAGAGCAGAATTTGAACCAGCCTGCTGAAATTTCTGGCTATTAGTCAAACAGCTCCAGTCATAAATGGGTACTAAGTAGAGAAAATTTAAGCTAGACAGACAGAAAGCTACTAAAAGCCTTCATAAATATAGGTCAGACTCCACATTCCATGACAGTAGTGTAAAACCAGAGTAACCCAGCTAGAATTGGTGACTCTGTTCTGAATTTAAGCCACAATAATCAGCAGAAAAAATCTAGCTCTGTTGAAACCCCCAACACCAAGAGCTCAAGAAAATGCTCTGTAGTGGCCTTGTTTGCAATGATAAAAAGACAGCAAGTGTAGCTTTAGAGCTTTATCATCTCCACAAACACTAGCAAATATTTTATAATCTCCACAAGCACTTGCAAATATTTAACTCTTTGGCAACCCACATTTCCCCATGCAATATGTCAAAGTGCATCAGAGCTCACAGGGAGAGTCTGGGATCTGCCAAGTCAGTAGAATTAGGTCTGTCAATCAGAAAACATGCTGGTTGCTCCTGGCAACATGAGAAACATGGAGTGGGAGAGATTGGATCTCACAAATAGGAAGTTCATTTAAATTAAGAATAATTAACATAATTTTCTGAAGTCCAGCAAGCTGCTCCAAAAAAAGAAGAACTAAATCAAATAAGTCATTCCCATAGGGAGACTGAACAACACTTAAATCCCTTGAGTCCTGTTGCTGACTAATTCTACAGTCTATGGTAAGTTTATAAAAACATCTTAGTAATGACAGGAAGGGGCAGAAACACATACAACTCTACACCAGATGCATCAGAGTATGAGACACAAGACATCCCTAGACTACAACCCAGAATCTTACATGTAACAACAGCTTCATAGGCACATTCAGAGAAAAACAGATGAATAATTTAGTTAGACAGCCTATTCATCTGCTCAAGTGTCCCATCCCCAAAGTGAGCTTTTGCCAAGCAGTTCTGAAAAAAACCACAGACATCTGTATTTTCATACAACTGGCACCTGAGGGCCGTGACAAGTGCCCAGGAACACAGTGGTGAAAATCGAGAAAGTTGCTGGGGTTTTTTTGTTTGGTTTTTTTATTTTTTTAAGCCAGGCTGCTAAGGGTTAGTTTATACCCCAAGACATAAGCAACTTTGGCATCTTTCATAAATTTCAACAGTGAGTCATTTTATAATTTCACTTCACTCTCAGTTTCACTCAGATCTGAGCACACATGTCTCCACAAGACAATCTCCAGGGTGCAGATCCTGTTTTCTTTTAAATTTATCTCCCAACATGATGTAGTATGATGTGTCTAAAACACTTTACCTCTGTGAGAATAGTTGTCTCATAGGAAGGCTGATACTTCTCCTTCTCTTGGGTGGTCTTCTTTTCCATTTTTTCCCTGTCAGTCTTCTGTTTTCTGTCTGCTCCTTTAGGCTATAAGTACAAGCACAGGCTCTCCCTTATGCCAAGCATTACAAGTTTGGAGACAGAGGCCAACAGATTTATCTAATCTATTCACAAAAGCCTCCTTAAGATTTACAGGCATTCTACATATGAAACAAGATCAGATCTGCATTTTCTAGACAAAAGAACTAATCAAGCATCCCCACTGTTTCTGTACATCCACCACTGATGCCTATTGCAATTCTGAAATAGGCTGACCACAGCCCTGAGGTGGGATTCCAACTATTTCAGTCCATAAGTTATGCACTTCAGCTGGCATTTGTACCATCTTTCCAGAAACACACTGCTCACAGGAACAAAACTGGAGCAGCAGATTCCTTGAGAAAACAGGCCTATGGAGAGTGTGTTGTTAAGTAGCCATAGGTCTGCCATGCCTGGATTAGGAGCTTCAAAGATGCTTGTTCTCTGAATCTTTTTCTCCTCCAGGTACAAACTGCACAAACTGCGCTCCAACAACAACAAAAAGGTATTTAAGATCTCCACAGTAAAATTTCATTGTTCATGGAGGGTTCAAACAAAGAAACTGAAGACCATAATGTCTTGATTGCCTAGGAGCATCAAAACACACTGGATACCCCAAATTTGTCAGTATTTTTTGTAGTGTTTGAAGTACAACAGACTGGCACAAGTCTTGGTGCAACATTTCAACTAGAATTGCTGTGTAGGTCAGTGTTTATACCACCATGTGCACAGGAGTCCTGTTTAAGATCTTAAGCATTCCCAGTTAAAAGTCTGTTCTTTTACTCCAATATTTGCACCACTCCTACACCAACTGAAATCTTTGCATGTTCCTGTGCCTTAATCTAGTTGATGACAAAGCCAAAACTACCTCATACCTTGAACACTTTGATCTGGCAGCTTGCAGAATGCAAGTGTTCTGTGTATTCACCATTTTCATTCTGCTTAAAGGTGTCGATTTGCACCCGGAAGGGCACCCCTTTCTCTCCTCCATGTTTCCGTGGAGTAAACTCTGTGCTGATGCAATGTACCTGGCAAAACAGAAACTGTGCTTATCTCTGGAGACAGTTGGAACCTGTGCTCATCTGAATTTCAGATACTGCCTGAACATGAGATTTTGGCTCCTCACAAAAAACTAAAAGAGGCAGAGGAGTCATATGTTTTCATTTCTGTTCCTTTGGACAAAATAATCAGGGGAACAAACAGTTCAGAAAAAACAGGGCATCAGGAAAAGCATCCTGTGATTTAAGTAAATCCCTCATTTAGATTAAAAACAGATCATTCATGCTCAAAATGAGAAATAGTCATGAAAGAAGAAAGCAAGGAAAACTAAGAGGTTATGAACAGTTTCCTCAAGACAAAACCTATGATTAGAAAGCAACACCTGTGTCTGAGTAATTTTTTTAAGAAAATTCTGGCAGTAGCAGGTAGTACTCCAATGTTAACAAGCAGCCAGCAGATTGATTTAGCAAGTATCCTACAAACTGATTGCACATGATTATCACATGAGTTAGTAATTATCATTACCATCCTCCTCTCTTGTTCATTTACTGGCTATTTTTTCTCCCCAGGTCTTTAAAAGATATCTAACCACTGTATTTACCACAGAAATATGACTTGTGTCTTACCTGAATGAATGCTGAAGCCCTCTTTGATGGATCCCAGAGAAATTCAACAGTGTTCAACTGGGTTGGGCTAGCCCTGGGATCCAAGATACCGACTGACAGCGGGATATCTGTAGAAGAAAACCCCTAAAATTTTAAAAATATTAAATTGAAGGAGAGAAAGCATTTCCATACAATCAGAACATGCATGTGAAAGCGAAGCCATCAAAGACATCCCTACTTTGGACCTATAGCACTAGATCACCTTCCCTCCCAAAGACACACGGGATTCTTAAGAAACCTGAACACACATGCAAACACTCCATGCAGCACTCGTGTCCCCAGCACTGCAGAGGTGCCACAATGAAATAGTCTCACCTATATCAAGGATGCGGTCCCCAGGCCGACTCCACCTCCAGCCCTCGAGCTGCTGATGCTCTGTGTACTGCAGGCGGCGGTCGTGGAAAACTACACGAATTATACTCTGTTAAAAAAAGACAGCAGTATCAACAATGGGATCCAGAATTCTCCCTCAAGATGACTTTGGTTTTCCAGAGTAGAAGCAAAAGCTGATCTGTTATGCTTCTCAGCCCCGCTCAAGAGGAGAGTAGAAGGGTCCACATAAGAGACCCATCACCGTGTGTATCAAATTCCTAAGGGACCCCTGAGAGAGAAATACACTTCCCCCTTCACAGGGCACATCTTACAGGAGTAACACAGCCCTGTACAGCTTTCTGGGAGTCACTCTGGAAGCACTATAGTAATGTCCACCTAATCTTAGGTGTCGTGGCATGTAAACATCACTATTTTGCCTCAACACCCAAAAAGGCTCATATGGGGGTAATATTTAATGCGTCTGTACCATGTCCCAATCCCAGTATATCCCATTCTATATTTGTAAATGTGGAAGCCAGCTCACCTGTCCCTGCCCTGGTGGAGCTGACATGTCCAGACACCTTGTCAGTGGGAATTAAACCTGATTCCAGCCATTAAGAGCCAGTCACTGGATTTGCCCCAGAGTAGTTAAACAGGGGTAGGTAGAGTAGGAAAGCGTCTGTAACAGCAGGCTGGTCTGCAATGGTGCAGCCATGCCAATAACCGGAGAAAAAAGGCTGGAATAAGGGCAATCCCCAGGGCAGACAAGTCCTAAGTACTCCTAACTAATATGTTCTTTTGTGTATTCACAGTGCTATACTTACATGAGTTAATGACCCCTAACATCCCAGTTTCTCAAGCCCACACTCTTGCTGGGAACTTCCGTAGCAAGTGAGTGAGCAACTTTTGCCAGTGAACCTGAGAAATGCCCAAATCAAACCCTAGCTTCAAGATGCAAACAAGCCACAGTGGGAACACCTGCAAAATTAGAATCCCAGTCCACATACTACCCAAAATGGGCCAAAAGATGAATAGGAAATGGCCTAAACTTGAACAAATCCAAACTGGAATACAAATTTTGCAACTAGTTCCCACTTCTCAAAGGAAATCCTGTGGCAGAAAGCCAAGAATTGAAGGTTGGATCCAGAACTAGGGTCCAGACCAATGTTTTTGAATTTGAACTGTTTTGGCAATGGAGGAAAAACAGGAAAAAGTCCCCAAACCAAATTATTAAGTTCTATATGTTCATCATTATGCCCATTTACCAAAGTAAACTGGAGCTATACAGAATCTGCCTGGCAGAACTATGTAAACACCTGGGCCCTCCTCTTGTCACATAACCCAGGCATGTTGCTGTGATTCAGCAGGGAGACAGTCTGCCTCTCCACAGCTTTGACCATGTTCACCACTGAACTTTGGGATTCCCCTGAACCCAATATTCACAGTGAAACTCTGGGGTCATGACCACAAACAGAATAAAGGCTGCCCTGAAGCCCTGCAAGGCCAAGCTGCATAGTCCCATGAAACTAGCACTCAACAACTCCATCACCCCTGCTTCCATTAAAAACAATGGCAAAGTGTTTTCCATTGTCTCAGCGGGAGCAAGGTCAGGCCCTTCATTAAAGGCTGTATGTAGTAGCAGGAAGAAAAGAAATCTATATTTCTCCTTACCTTTACATATTTTGTGTTTAAATCTTGAAACTCTCCCAATTTCCTATTCTCAAGTAGACGGATTTCATAAGACTGACCTAGAGTTTAAGGAAACATTTCCAAGGTGTTTAATATGTTGTAGCAATGAGAGAGTCATGCTGGCATTTATGTGGCTGATAAAGCATACGTTTGATCAGGGAAAGCTTATTTTTGCTAACATAATGCATTTGCCCCAGTAATCAATAGGCATTAAAGCACAGCAGAAATCTGAGGGGAAGGTTTGCCTTTTGGCAGCTAAAAGCTCTCCATTAGGGCATCAATTATCGCTGTCTCCCGAGGCTGCTATGGTTTTCTGGTCACCCTCCAGAAAGTCACCAGGGTGCTTGAGGCAGTTGTCCCCCCATGCCACATGGCTGTAACAGCGCTGCCTTTGTCTGTCCCTCCTGCTAAAGCAATTCTGCCAAAGCAAAGGTTGTGTGAAGAGGTGCTAGCACAACAGGTCCAGGAACAATTCTGCAGAGGATGGCAACTGGGGAAAATCTTGCCATCTTCATGGAGCAGTCAGGCCTGTAAGGTGTTTTGGTGAACCACCAAAAAAAAATAGTTTCACGAGGCCTGGAAAGCTGCTGCCAAGGGCATAACTATTCCTTCAGACGTGTGTGGAGGCAGCAATGGGGTATTACAGCATGTGCAAGGACCACTTCCAGGAAGGGAATACACACTCCACCACCCCACCACCAGTGTCACATAAGGAATTTAGTCAGTTCAACAGGATTCAGCTAACTGATTTATGAAATAACATCTCTTCGAGGCTGACAGCAGACAAAGGAGATTGATATCTCAATACCTCACACACAGAAATTACTAAGACAGTACAAAAGTGCATTGTACTACACCGAGTCTTTAAAATAAGCCTGCAACCAGTACCAAGGCAGGATAGGATCATCAGGATAATGGAGCGTATGTGTACCTTATAGCTAGCTTTTCCTGTTCATCTTGCTATCCTCCCTTTTCCTGAAAAATGCACAGGGTATGACAAGGCAGGCACCAAGGAGGAGATCGGTTTGGTTTTTCTGGCTCAACCAGTATCTCTGCAGAACTGGCCCTGCAGAAAACTGCAAAGCAGATCTATCTCCCTCTAAGCAGCTTCTACCAGCAGAGACAGAAATGCTACATTTTTGGATCTGGAATTAGAAATGGAAGACTTATGACAGCAGATGTATCAGAGAGGCAGACCGCCTTTTGAATCCCACCCCGCATGGGTACAGACCATATCCACAGAGCACAGATAATTTTGCTTATTCAGCTGGCTGGCAGATAGGAAAAGGAAAAAAAAGGGAGGACAAGAGAGGCCATACTGAAGCCCCAAATGTTTGCAAAACAGCCCTACAGAAGTTCTGCAAACAGGAAATGATCCTTGAATCCATCAAGTGACTTAGGGCATGGGGAGAGCAGAGAATAAACCATATATAGTACCAAAATAACCATGGCAACATGGACCAATATTTACCCATCTCCTGGCACATAAGTAAAGCAAAATTACAACAGTGACCTGCCTTTGAAGACTGCTAGACAACAAAAGTGGATTTTGTAAACCACAGTCCTGAAAGATCAAGGTCAGGTTAAAAAAATGGGTTCTCTCAGATTCATACAAAACACCCTTTGGGCCATCAAGTCCAACCATTAACCTAGGAATGCCAGGTTCACCACTAAAACGTGTCCCTAAGTGCCACATGTGCTGTACTATGTACTTGTATGTGCTGTACATGTTTATCTATGTTGCACAAAGTGGCTGCCCAGTGGTTCAGTCTGGAGACACTTCACCAGCTATGGAGTCATACAGTTCATCATCCTGAACCCATTCACACAGCCAAGTGTCTCTTGCACTTACAGTTCATTCCCATGCAGATATGAGGCTAATTAATCATTACAGAATATTAATTTAGGTTTTGAAAGCAAGAGACAGTAAAATACATCTGTGACTACTCAGGGGTAACAAGGACAGTGAAATGTAGTGTTATGAGCTGAGCTATGGAGGAAGGCAATGGTCACACCAGAAGTATTGTCAGCCATTCAATAGTATCTCAGGAATGAGCAGGTTTTTGGGACACCCTTGTGCACTGATAGACTCTTGCTCTTTCATCAGCCTGATCTGCTTATCTTTAGTTACAATGAGACCAAAGAAAATAACAGGCATAAGAGCATCATCCATATTCCTTTCAAACTAGCATCAAGCACTCAAAAACTCTGCAGTGTGCCATCTCTGACCCCCTTGCAGGGATAGGGACATAATTGCAGCCTGGAAGGCAGTGGGCACCACACATCTCCACCTGACAGCAGTGATTCACCTCAGAGGGAGTCAGAAGCAGATCCTGCAGACCAGTGGAAAAGAAACTGCACTGTAGACAGAGTTAATATTAAACAGAAAGCCAAAGAGGAAATAACATGCTTTGATGAAAGATATATGGGTCATCTGATGGAAGCCCTGGAATGCAGTTTATGCCACGAAAAACCTCAATCAAAATGGTATTTTATGCTAACTGCTTTCCCCTTGAACTCTGAATGTTTAACTTGAGTTGCTACATGATTATCAAACAAGACTGCTCCCAGCCAAGCTTCAGAAAACATGAGGGTATTTTCCCCTCCCTGTGAAACTCTGTCAGTGAGAATTTGGTCCCAATTCTTCAAAGTTCCCTTATATATCCATCTTCTGGTTGTGGTTTTTAATTTATTCTCCTTAAAGCTTTCCAGCAAATTCATTGCTTTGTGGCTTATGGTACCCAGAATTTATCAGCATGGACAGCATTCAGATGCTTGTACTTTTATAGCACCAAACTGCTTGGATTATACCTTTTCCTTGGAAAATACCTTCCAAACCTTGTTCACCCTGTATTTTCCACCACTGCTACCAGCAAAACTAGTGAAATGATGAATTATGATCTCAGCCCTGCAATTATTACTGTAGAGAAAAAAGGCTCTAAAGAATGACCACTTGGCTGTTGGAAAACAAAATCCCTTTGTAAAATAAAGTGAATAATAGCAATCTAACCTGAAGGAAGCTGAACTCCCCCTGGCGTCAAAGAGGGCAAAGAAGTCACACAAGGCTCTGACACACAGATCATTTATGAATCCTGCATCACTGACTCACCAGCATGAGCAGGCACACTGACAGTTTTCTGCTCAAACTAAATCAGTAACAGATCACTCTTAGTCAGGTGTTCAGAGAAACATGTCTGTAAGTGTGACTAAACAATATGCACTTCCAGTTCCTAAGTTAGACTATAATTAGCTGAGCCCAAAACAAAGCTGAAATACAGAGTTTCCCCATACTGAGTTTTCCCATGTGTCTCAGATAGAAACACAGATTAATACAGGTCAGACTACAACTTTCCAAGTCAATATGTGGTGGTAAAGCTGGAGGCAGGAGCAGAGGATACCAGTGCTGAGACTACAGTGATTTGATTGAATAGCCCAGGTCAGGTATAATACTGGGCACCTAAAGCACTTCTGTCACCACCTGAAACGAAGGGGACACTTTGCAAGCAATCCCCAGCACAGCTGATGCTGCAGCAGCCTCCAGCACGACTGTGTGACCCAGCACTCCCCTCACTCACCACAATCCTTCTTTCCCTACCTCAGGCAGAGAACAGGACAGTAACAATATTCAGAAAACCACAGCACATTCCTGAGATATCTCCCAATTTCATTGAAAGCTTCAGAGGCACCAGTAAAAACCCGGGCAGGTAACAGTATACTGTTACTGTATAATTTCCATTTTAAACAGACATTCTCTGGGCAAAAGGAAATTAATGTAATCTCCTCCTAGGCTAGAGTTTGAGCAACTTGCTTTCAAACAAAGTAGCACCCAGTAAAATAGTAACCACCCAGGTCCACAGAGTTCCTGGTTCATAATTCATGAAGCAATTCCACCTATCTGAAGGAGGATTTATAGACTCCTTACTTTTTTAAACTTGCATTGTCTTTGATAATTAACACACATTAAATGTGGGCATGGTCACTTAATGTGGGGCCAGTAGAATTTGAAGTCAAGCACTTACTACAGATGAAAAATAATTTCGTTCAACACAGGAATGATTTCACCCGCTCAAAAGGTACAAGTTTAACAGCTTACTGATTTCCATGGAATTTAGACAGCCATAAAAATTTTAGGTAATTTCTGAATACAAAAGATTATCACTATTTCAAGCTCAAAGTTACACTTTGTTCAAATGTCATTTTACTACACAACCACAATATCCTGTTTGCTTTTCTTTATTTTGGTGTTACATTTCAAGGGCCACTTGCACTATGCATTTTGTGGTTTTCTGCACAATACACAGATACAATACACTAATTTCCAATTAGGATGCTGATGTTCCAGGCTGATATGACTCAGGCCTTACTTAATCTAACAAAGTAGGCTTTCCAGAAATTAATTAAACCCTAACCTTTGAATAAGCAATATCCCCAACAAAAGTCTGTGGAAAAGGGGAAAAAAAACCCCAAAAAACAACAGTGTCCTCTTTCTCAGAATGGATCCACACAGCACTAGACAGAACCAGCCTGGAAACTGTTTGATTATTAAGCCAAGCCAATAAAAATTCCATTTAGCAACTTTATATGGACATCCTAAAGAGCGCATAGATAAAGGCAAAGGAATGCTGACAGTCAAATGCACCATGCAGAAGGAGGGGGAGGGAAAAAAAAAGCAAGTATTTATCATACCAAACCAAAGCATATCCAGCAGGCAGGAGGACCACCTTTGGAACAGCCAAACACAACTATTCAGGGCATCAGGCACACACAAAGATTTTTCTGACAAGAAAGATTAATGGACCCTCAGGGTAAACAGACAAGAGTGGCAGAGCTGGCATGTGAACTTGCATGCTTGATGACACACACCTTTTTAGCCAGTCACAAGCTAAAATAAAAATTAGCCTAAGACTTGCTCAAGTGTCCCATGTGTGGACACTCTGCAGGACAAGAAGCAAAAGCAGAAGCCTCAATCCCTGAACCACAAATGACAGTGAGATATTCTGCAGTTGCTTACTGTAGCCTCATTTGACAAGATGCTGTAGATGTTTATCCAGTGGATATT